TTCGAATCCGACCGGATCGAAGGAATTTTTTCTGAGTGTTCGATCTTTGTATTAATAATTACAGTAATTGTTGTTCAGGAACTTCTTCAGAATCATAAACAAAAGAAAATAAGAATTACACCAGGTGTTGAACCCAGGGTTCTCAGTTTGTACTCAGAATGACAAATAAATTGTTTTTAAATTATAATTACTATTATTTATTTAAAGAACCCTTTCTTTCCAAAGCTGTCTCGCTCTGTGTGAGTCAGTCATTTCAGAGAAAGGAGATAAATGTAACATTACCAAACAGCATGTGTTATCTATACCTTGCTCGTTTGAAGTGTGCACAACATTCAATAGTATAGAAAATACTATTTTTCTACAGCAATATTGGACCAGAAAATAATGCATTATTTTAATAATAATGTGACTGATGTTTAAAATTGATTAGAACAGTGAGTCTGAGTGTTTAAATTATGAATTAAGTTGATTGTTTAAATAAAATGTCTCAACATTCAACATTCTTATTTTGCAGATGTAGACGAAGCGTCAAAGAAGGAGATCAAGGACATCCTCGTCCAATACGACAGGAGTTTGCTGGTGGCTGACCCTCGTCGCTGCGAGCCCAAGAAGTTCGGTGGTCCAGGCGCCCGCGCTCGCTACCAGAAGTCCTACCGTTAAGATTGTATACAACTACGCTCTTTGCTATTGCATTGGTATTGTACTAGCAGTGCAATAACAATGAGTGATAATAAAAAAAACCCACAAAATATTTTTTTTTTTAATTGCTCTATTGCCTGATAGTCTCACCAGTTCCAGTGTTTGGCCGTGCTTTTTTCGAGACCATGAGGAGTTATTATATATATTATTTTGAGTCGTCATTCTGTTCGGTTCTGTCGTAGCTAATTTTTACAATAATTTGGTTGAGTGAAGAAAAACTCATAAATTTCTTGCAGATACTCAGCAGAAAATAGTTTAATACGAGTACAAACATCAAACCACAGATGATACACTATACGATCGAACATAGAAAAAATTATTCGATCTGACATGACCCAAACCTGCAGTACCATACCGCATGATACCTCTCTGCTAACTGAGCTACACCGAGTCGGCAGATCTTAAGAATTTTTGTATGCGTTTGTTACAGATCTTTGTTTTGGCCGTTTACTGGTATATACTAGTTGTTTTTGCTTTTAATAATGATTTATATAACAAACTACTATAGTGAAGTAATTTCACGAAAAACAAATGAATCGTGGTAATGGAACATCATAATATTCATTAAGCCTGTAATACATGTTGGCCGAGCCTTTTTTTTTTATGTGCGAAATCTTGCTGCGGGGGCAACAGATTATGTCGGACTCCTACCGATAGCAACCTTACGGTATTCCGCTCCTGCACCTTTTGCCCAGGACTACGGGAACGCTTTCGCACTCTTCCGCGGTTCCGAAGTCGCTAGCCCTCAACCGCGGGCCCAATGGGCAACCCCATTAATCACTGAGAGGGGCACACCGGAACACCGGGCGCGCCACTTCGGGGTCTGTATATTACTGGTGGCGGACGCCCCCGCGTCCGCCGCCAGAACCCCTGTTATGAGGGTTGAAGGGGAGCATGATAGAGGCTCAGGCTCTCCTGCGGCGGATTGGAATGTTGGCCGAGCCTAGGCCAACGCAAGGGTAGGCAAACTAATACACGGTTAGTGCTACTGCCTACACGTTCGACAATTCAACGATATGGACGACGTAGAAGTTATTACAGTTGCTGCTATTTATGTAATAAGCATCTATAATTAATATGTTAGTGTATGCCGCAGTAAAGTTGTAAAAAAAGATAAAAAAGAGGGTGGTGGATGCTAAGTATTCACAGAAATAGAATAAGGCAAGATGACATTTATTTTTAATGTAGTAAAGTACTTACGTTATCTTGTTGCAAATGTTATTTATTGATGCAATTTTGTTGATTTGCAACAATTTATATGGACAAACGTGTGACCCTATTGGCTGAACGCAGACGAGCGCCTTCGATCGTGCAGAAAAACCGACACCGCTCCGAAGTTCTCTCTTCCGCGTGAGAGGCGAGTGGTCGCGAGCTACTGCGATTTATGACAAGCTGTGGCAATGAGCCCTATACACTTTAGAGGACGACAAAATAAATAATAATAAAAAATAGTCTAAAGCTTATAGACGTTGGCGCTCGCCTTCCCTCGGCCAACTAGGCGAGCGATGGCAGGGCAAAGCAAATAAATAGGCTGTTTTTATGCCTTGGTGTTGGCCTTCACTCGGCGACTCTGGGCCAATGTGTATTGGTGGATTTACAATCAATATTATTATTATATTTAATTTTACGAGTATGTCGGTGTGCACGCATGCGTGTCTTGTGTTGGATACAAGCAACCAGCAATCTCTAATCAAGGTGTTGTGGTTATCGATATTCTATTTGATATTTTTTGGACAGTGTCCGACTGCCACAACCGGCAACTGTGTCGATTTCATATAATTTGTATGAATACACACATACACACCACAAGACACATGTTTGCGCGGCGCCTTACCTACTGTCCACATTGGAATAACTTTACGATTATATAGTAGCTCAGTAGCGTCATCATTTAACCACAGTTGCTAGCTTAAATCTGATTGCACCAAGAAAAATTTTAGACTTACCTACACGCTTTTTAGTCCAAAAGATATCTGAGATTTAAAAAACCTTTTGTGATAGGTACAGTTACGTATAGAAATCATATATGTATAATGAAAAATGCATAGCTAAGGAAGGCCACCGTTTCCAAATTGTTCGTTGTAATAATCCTGCATTACGTGGCAGACGGCAAGGCGGACTGCAATGCTATATATATATATATAGTGAATGCCCTCTTTAACATGAGATGCGTTTACCAATAGAAATGTCAGTCGATTAATCCTAACATCATTATGCAAAAACAATATGTTTTTGCTTGTATTGAATTACAAATGATCAAACCTTCAAGTATCATTTATTTAAAAAAAGTTTAACAAATATGTATCTACATACATTGTAGACTAACACAGGTGTAACTGAGATAATAAATCTGTTGGTAACTTCTAAACAATGGAGCAATTAATGCAATTAGAACTAAATTAGGAGCAGTGGTTCTCGAATAGTTTATAATAAAGTACTCTTTGTTCTCAAAATTGAAAAATGGTGCCACCAGAATTGGCTTATTCTAGCGTGGACAGCAAAATATACTTATAACTTGGAAACGGCGTAACGTCTAAATCTAGCTTTTAGTCTGGAACCGACTAAATCACGACTTTTTATTGCAATCAGATCGAGACTGGGTGTTGTGGTTATCGAGATTGAAGAATGCCGTTTGTATAAGCATATTCCAACAACCACCCTTATAACTTTGAAACGGCGAACCGACAAAATCGTTATTTTATATAAATAAATGGTTATTTGTGACAGATTCGACTAAATGAAGAATTTTTCCCTGACTAGTCAAATTTCAAAAGCTTGATTATGGTCACATTGAAAAAAGTCACGTCCTTTGGTCCAATGATGGTGGTGTCCACGTAATTTAAAATTTATATTTCTGGCCGCCAGTTCTTGTATTTTAGCCGTAATACGCTATTGGTATACCGCTTATCCGTGAACGCAGCTATCTAAATATCGTAGAGCACTCTGACTACAATATGATAGGTATGAATATAATTAAAAATCTGTTTAATTCATCCTGTTCACGTATCAATGACATGATATTCTTCACGAAGTTTTAAAATTGTTACACGGTCACATTGTACGTTAAGCTTGACACTTTGAATTTTGGATCGTTGTTAAATTAAATCTCAAGTGTTAAGGTCGACGTGCTCTTGACCCTGCACCGTTTCTTTTTACATGTAAAAATAAAACCAAGAAATTTCAGTAGGCAATTATTTTATTTATTCAACTAATTCTCATCTTTCTAGAAAATGTCTTTAAAACTGATTTAAATGCAATATAATATGCGTACGACAAAACCGTTAAAGATTGTTAATTTAGTACCGTTTACGCTGATATAATTTCTTTCTCGTTTATTACAATTTGTTATAATTCTTTTAAAAATGCCTCATTGCTTGACAATTGTGTCATTTTGCACAATTAAAAGGTAAACTAATTTGACGGAACTGATGTGCTTGTTTTGATCTGATAAATAAAGAAAAAAAGAAAGAAAACCGTTCCTGAATATTCTAGCATGGGCGTTACTGTAATTGACAACATTTTTCCGGCCACAGTTGATTACAAAAAGCCGTACATAATATGGCCAACTGATTTCCAATTCGATATAAATGTAAGTTCTAACAGACTGTTTATAAGTTCAGTCAAATTAGATGGTAAGACACTGAACCGATGTTGAATAATTTGTCACAAAATTAGACCTTAAAATACTAGCTGCAGTTAGCACAAACCTTTATTAAGTTGTTAATGTCTTTCAAAAATCTTAAAAATAAAAAAAAATCGTACAACGCGAAGACCCATTATATTGATTGCTAGCGGCGCGTATGTGACGTTTTATTATTATGTCTATGGTCTGCATTGGTTGGGTCTCGGAATAATGATTACTCTTTTTTAGGTTGGGTAGTAGAATTCCACGCAGAGCATTCGCGGTATACATTTTTCTCCATCCCCTAAGCGGTATACCCACGGTATACCTCTCACCCGCCACAGGCCGTAGACATAAAAAAAATGTTCCTCTTTCTAATTTTGAACGTTATTCGAAAACATTAGAAAGAGGAGAAAGCAGTTTCAAATTAATTTCTTCACGTTATACTACCTAGTTAATCATACAATTATTTATTATTTTTACACAGATCTTTTTGAGATTATTAAAAAGTTATTTTCTATAATGATTTGGCACCATTTTACTTTAGTTTAACACTAAACAGTGGGGTTAGGTCACATAGGTAAAACGATTTTGTGTGCACGGCAGTGCAGACCAAAGTTTCAAATAAATTTTATTAATACGTCTAGCATCGACTATTTTAAAAATCAATATTTTAAAATTGCACCTTGGTTTTTTACTTGATATGTCAGCTGTAGGTATACTTTAGTTTCAAAGGACAGTTAATATTATTTTTCTATGCCTCCATTGATAGTTGAAATACGAATACCACATCGTGATTTTCTCTAATTTGCTTGGATTTTAATTGGATGGTTATACAATAAAATTTTGTTTTCATTGAACGGACTATCTATGAAATTTTGTAATAAGTGAACCCTAATAAATCTATCATTATAGTACCGCTTTCTTAGGGAATTCCACACAATGAGCGTTTTTTCCATATAAAAGACGAGCAATTTCTTTAAAAAAATAATTGTGTTTTACCTAAGGACCACTCGTAATAGCTATGTCATAATGCCTGGTTGGCCGTTATCCTCCATTCCATGGGGTTTTGTCATTGGTGGTCCTGGTATAAAGCCGCAGTCAATGTGTGAAGCTCCAAAATTGTACACTTAGCCCTACTTCTCTTCGATTTTCTCCTCATGGACGTCTTCGAATTTGGCTCCCATTCGTTTTAATGCGATGACGGCGGCAACGGCTTTCGCCCAGCGTTTCTTGATCACGTACCGCTTTAGTTTGGTCTTGGTGACGTGAAGCTCCGTGCACAACGCGGATTGGATCAGCCACGGGTGCGTTAGCGTTTGCGATGACGACAGACGGTCTCTGGTTAAACAGCAGAGGGTTAATGATTTGCGATATGAACACTTGTAGAATATTTTATACATACCAGACATGCAAAACCGTCACCATCTGTTAGTACAACAACATGAAGAAATGAACACGTATTCCATATTAAGCGTTCTACCACAAAATTGTCGCTTGATACCGAGAACGTCTCTTGTAAAAAATGTTAAAGTAAAACAACAATTATATTTTAATTGGAACAGAAAATTGAAACAAATTTTTAGAAATCTCCATATTTATTAACAACATACGTATTGTAAAACAATAAATTATACTTAAATATAAAATATTACGTAGAATACACTATTAGAACAAATCCAAGTTTTGTTCCATAAGTACGTCTATAGAAATGTATAAAGGTATACTATGTATCCTTGTTTCGTGACTATGAATGTATCGTTTGTTGATGAATTTCCCGAAAACTTCAGTCTTGTAATTTATTTTGTGACCTGAAGACTAGATTCATACCTATTCAATTGTCATTTTTCACTAAAGCCCTTAAAAATAATCTCTTACTTTGGTAACTAATGTCATGTCATGGCACACCATGAAATCATTTAGAGCTTTCCATATTCGTTGTGACTTTTTTCCTCTTCGTCTTTTCGTCTGATGTCTGTCTTTGGAAGAAGGCGTGAAGGCTTGACATAGAATTATGCGCTAGTTGATTCGAGGGTGACCATTCTAACGATATCGACTGATGTCTTCCACCGTTCGACGTTCCTCCCGCCGTTCTTTCCCCTTCAGTTTCTGTCTCACCCCACTTTTCAAGCAAATGGAGCAATAAATCTTTAGTTCTGTGAGCATTGTTTTCATCTCCCCGTCTGTAAGGCAATTGTCGACCATTTTCCGTGCCGTTCACTAGTTTGTCTATCTTGTCACGACGCTTGTCAAATTCCTGGAAGAAAGAGTTTCGTCTCTCTGTTGGTTGATCCGGTACATCTCGGCTGCTGGTTGTGAGTTTCTTCGACCTTGTGGTAGCAGACTTCGCCCAGGGCATTTTGCTTGTCATTGGTCTGTCGTGATCTCTCTCTGTTAAGAATGACGTTGATATTTTATGACTAGATCGCGACGTAAAGATTTTTTTCTCTGTACTACAAGCATCGCCATTTGTTATCGTTCTTGATACCGTTGATTTTGTCTGCTTTTTGAAACCGTTCGGTGTTGCCGTCTCTTCCTTCGTAAATGATTTAGCTTGAGTGACGTTTTTATCTAGTTCTTTGGCACTGTTGTTGTTGTTTGCCAAATCCGTATTCATCGTGGACAGCATATACAAATGATCAGAGAGTTTCTTAATTTCCTCGGCCAAATTTTTCCGAACGAAGACGTCATGTCGTTTGTGTAAGAAGCAATTGCTGTCCGAGGCCCGTCGTTCCACTGGGTTATATCTAGATGAGAGGAAGTTGTTATCTTTGATCGGTGGGGGTGCCAGGTCGTCCTCGTCAAAGACGACATCTGGGGAACTGCCAAGAGAGCTTCTGGGTGAAGGGGAACACCCGCCTATAGAGGATCGCTCGCAGTTCATGAGGCATGTGATTTCGTGGGCTTGGTTGTCAAATACATAAGGCGAGTTGGGATGTTCACTCCAGCGTTCAACAAAAAGGCGGAGGTTGTCTTTGGCAACGTCAAGTTCTTGTTTGGGCGAAGGTTGTGGTCGTGGCTGGGGCTTGGTTGGTGGAGAGCGCCGTTGTAGCCACACATGGCGCAAGCAGTCAGCGGCGCTGGGACGCGACCTGCGACAAAGACCCTTGTTACTATCACCCGACACCGGCTCAGTGCTGTTATGATGGCAAATGGATATGACCAGTTTGATGTGCTATGACTACGAGCGAGCAATATTGCTTGAATAACATTAACTAGTGCTTGCGGTTGAGTTATTTTATATGTGTCTTGTTGGTACCTAAACAATAATAATAAACTTTAATGTAGGTACCTAAACAATATAATAAACTTTAAATGGGTGGGTATCCATTCATTACTACATTAGTTATAACTGATGGCTTTATAAATAATAATTTTCATCATGTTATATAATGTTTCACTCTATTTCGTTTTGTTGGATTTATTATAATGTGGCTGTATAAGTTCTAATCCCATCGACTCACTAAGAAGAAATGGAACCTACAGACTATGGTCTAAAGAAAGAAAAGAATAATATTAATTTTACTTTAAGACCGTGTGTACGATGGGACGTCATTCTGTTTGTCGGTAAACCCTGATGACCTAATAGAGTATGTTTGTTACACCGACCAGAAAATATTCTCTATTGTTTAACATTAAGGTGTTATTAATCTCACGAGTTACTAATATTTTAAAACAGCGCGATTTTCATTGAAAACGATTGAAAATATTTATTCCAAGTCACGTTTATATCCACGAGTAAAAAGACGTAATTAATAGCATTTTAATTTCACTCCTTTCTAAAATCTAGTAACTTGGCTACGTATGTCATATTTTGTAGATTTATAGTCTTTGTGTATGTTTACATAGTATTGTAAATGACTAGCTCATGTTGTTTGGTATATGCCTATGATTTCTACATACTACAAACTCCATTAATAGATATAAATAACACGCTAGACATTTTACAGGCTGGTTAGCACAAATCTGCTGTTACTTAAATTATATATAATTGCAACATGCATATTTTAATGATTGTTAGTTACAGAAAGTGCGAATAGAGTTAAGTAACAAAGGGTCTTTATCGATGCTGGCTTATAGGCAGCTTTAACATGACAATCAATGTTTTGAAGTAAACAATAAAGGCTGGTCTCAAAGTTGCGTCTATGGCGCACGTGACAGCGGAAGATCAGCGCAGAATACACGAGCATAAGCATAAGAAACGCTACCGTGTTGCAGTTTAACAACGCGCTAGTTGTGAGCCTTATCCTGAAATCAGCCATTCCAATCGAGGCCAAAGAGTGTAAAAGACACATTTGCCCCAAAGGCATTTCTTCATAATTACGATAAGAATTATGATGAAAGAAAATCGACAATATTAAAACAGCGCAAAAATTTAAAAACAAATGGACAATGAAAATTAATTACAAGAACAAAATTTTTTTGTCAAAAATGTTGTCTATGATTAAAATAGATAAAAAATATTTTCACAAACGACAGACACTTATTTAATAGTAATTAATAAAAAAAATATAATTGTTTCTTAAACTGTTTATGAGAATTTTTTAGATTAGCTTTCTCTGTCTAATTTCGGTGGCTATTATAATATTATTTAAGTATTCTAGTATATTATCATGAAATATTAAATAATATTTCACGATAATATTCTGGAATATTTAAATAATAAAAATTGCTACTGAATTAGGTACAGTAAACTAAATGTTTACATACGTGTTGTACACCTAAATATTTTGCCAGTCGCAAGCAAAAAATTTAACGAAGTTAAATAAGAGAAAAGTTGATGTCGTGTAATATCGGGAACTCAAAGTTAAGGCCCTCATTAGAGATAATTGGCGATTACTTCGCCGACAAGAAACTAGCTCTTACAAGAAAAAGAAAAGATGTAGGTAACAAATTAACCATTTTTTGCTTTACATGGTCTATGTATGGCAAACAACTGTTTATTCTAAATACACATTGAGGACCGATTTTATTGCACATATTATTCCACAATAAAATTAAGGAGAACGAGCATTATCACGCACCGCGCCATCTTTAATAGTAACGAGAACTTCTCTGATACTCTCTCACAAATTACTTGTGGCATATAATGTTGTCATGAGAATAAAATAAGTTGTATGTGTTCTACAATATGGCGTTTACGGCGCATACATTTTTAGAAAGTAGTTTTATCCTTTATTGGGAAATAAACATTTTTATACAATATTATATATTATATGTCTAATATATAATATATAAAGCGAATACATTTTTTAAAAGTAGTTTTATCTCTTACAGGGAAATAGAAACAATAAACGATAGCAATAATTTCAAAGATTTCGAAAGTGCAATAAAATCGATTTTAAATTTGACTTTAAAAGTACTCACTCTTTGTCTTTAACGAGCAATTTTTTGATGAAGTCTTTGGCGTCCTCGGAGATCTCGTTGAAAGCCTCATCATCGAAGTCATACTTGGCTACCGTCACGTTGGCCATTGTTTCTATGTCCGTCTCGCCCATGAACGGGGATAAGCCCGACAAGCTGAAAAGGGACGGCATGATTAGTTTTGACGTTATTTATAATTCTGAGAGAGTGGATTGAATATACTAACATAAATATAGTATAATATGACATAGTGACTGACTTATATGTGTGCACGTCTGCCGCACGTGTGCGGACGAACTTGTAAAGCAATAGAGCTCCTTATGAAAGAGTTCATTCAGGGAAGTACTGCCAGCTTTCCTATATTTGCCGCCGAGCAGTAATGTGACTATTGGTAAGGGTGCTATTGAATTTACAGGCACATGGAACTTGTTAACTTAGTCTCAGGGTGACGATCGTAGATCTTAGGGACACTGCCACTGTGTCCGTCACTCTGTGACATTGACAAGTCCCACGTACCTGTAATTTCACCAGCACGGCAACGCAGTAATGCTGACATTACTGTTTGACAGCAGAAATAGGTAAGGTGGCAGTACTTCCCTGGACGAACTCTTTCACGAGGAGCTATATTGTTACCAAAATATACATAACTTGTTTCATATAGTTCTATCATTTTTCTATAGTGTTGACTTTCATATCATAATAACACTTTTGACTTATTTCACATGCGGATTTGTTACACCAAGAATACGAGTTCTTTGTTTTAAACTCATCAATGGCACCAGCATAATGTGACTTTCTTTCTTGTGCGCTTAGGCGATTATCCTGCTGTACAAATACACACAAAATAACCCCTGCATGTCGGCCTACGTGGAATATGTAGTTGAAAATGTAGTGGAACTGATATTATAATAGGAATGACTATAGCTAAGTGTTACTTGTCATATTATCATGTCGTATACTTACAGCACATAACAAATGACACCGACGGACCACATATCAGTGCCGTATCCGATCTGGTCAAAGTTAACCACTTCGGGAGCGACGAACTCCGGTGTGCCGAAGAGAACTTGAAGCTTCTTCTCCGGGTCATAGAACCGAGCGAGACCGAAATCGATAATCTTTATCCGATTGCCTGCCTTTGTCAGGCACAGGATGTTTTCTGGCTGTAAGAGAAAAGTGCAAATAATGAAATCGATTAACCTAGTTTTTAAATTTGGGTTCAGCCAAAAACAGGTAGATTGTTAAAAAGTTGGATCAATCGGAAGTGCTACTTATTACAACTCGATAATGTGTTCATTATTAGAGCGATTACCCGGCGACTTTTAGCAGCGATGCAAACGCGATACAGTTGTTAATCGCTGACCTTTACACACGCGCGCGCGATTTTAAGATGCGATGCAAGCGCGCGACTGCATCGATACAAACGCGCGTTTGCATCGCTACACCTAGGATTTATAGGCGATTGCATCGATGCAGTTGCTCGTTTGTATCTCTGCAATCGCCTATAAATCGCAAGTGTAGCGATGAAATAGCGCGTTTCACGAACGTGCATTTGCATCGCTAACAGTCGTCGCCTTTGGATGTGCATACAACAAAGGACGTATGTTGTATTCTATTCACATCTCGATTCGATATCTCCAATGAACACTACGCCTAGTTTATTTTTTGATCTTTTTCTGTTACTTTTGTAAACAGCCATATTTATTTTAGTAATATTATGCTCCTTGAATTTTGTGAAAAAAAGAAACAAAAAAACAATATTCGAAAAATAAACAAAAAAAAAATTGAATTTTGCGAAAAAGAAACAAAAACAAAATGAAAATGTTCAAAAATTAAGATGGCGTACTGTTCAATGGAGGTAACGATCTATAAATATTGGATGATTTCATTGTCCCTATTATAATACAATTGTTTGGCTGAACGCCGTAAAATCAAAGTGGTAAGAATTAAATTTAACGAGCTTTGAAATTGCGCAGGAGTTAGCAAGAACACAAGAGATAAATTTAAATCTCAAAAAATCAGTGTGGTTTTCAAATTACTTTCTGACTTATAAATGTAGGCAGTCACCCTCATACCCGTTTTGTGACATTATGGATCTAAAATAAAATCTAGTATTTTCGTAAATTCACTTCACAAAAATAAAAACTGATCTAAATAAACAATCATTGCGTCGGCAGACAATTATAACACAAGCATGCCGCTCAACCATTTTGATTAACTGCTTGGCGTTTTCCCAAAATGGCAGTCCGAACATTGTTTCGTTTCACTAATCCAAAGTGACTCGTCTCTTGGTCTGTTGGGAGCGGATGGTAGAAGAAGTAGCAGGTACTAAAACCTATTCAGCGCTACCAGCCAATTTAACGGTACTGAATTCGAAAAAAATACTAAGTTCAAGTAGGCCACTGAGTCACGGAAAATTTAACGGAAGACGTTCACGTGGAGAGGGAATGCAGGGCACTGACGGTTAAGTGTAATATGCTAGCCTGCAGGTTTGCACGATATTCATATGAGGTTACAATCATCCTCTCCAAATATATTGCCAGACCTTATAACACGTGGAGCAATTACGCTAAAAAAGTCTACAGTGCTTTGCGTGTATAATTCAACAATGCCCTCAGTGGACTGCTGGAGTTGCCTCGAAACTGTAGCGTCTCAGAGATGTTCGTGGAGGCTAGGATTGATGGTTTTCAGGCAGTCGTTCGCAAGAGAGTGCCATCCCTGTTGGCCAGAATGAGAGGCAGCACCAACAGTCTTCTTAAGGTGGTAGCAGAGAGGCTGGACAGCCCAATCCTTAAGTACTGGATGTCCATCCTTGTTCATGAAAATGAACACTTTGCATTCTACTAACATACTTGTAAGCACCCAGTAACACTATATTATGGACAAGTAATTACTCCCTAAACTAAATTCTTCCATTTCATACCTTCACAGTCATATTTAATAATCTTTACATTTAGCCCTGTCAATTTATGTTGGTTATGTTCATTTATTGGTAATTATTTTACAAAATGTGAAACGTCAACTGTAAGTAATAAAGACGTTTATCATATGACAAATATAACATAAATACATATAAATAAATGTCAATAAATATTAGACAACATCACATACGTTGCTCAGATCCCAAAGTAAGTAGAGTACTAGTGTTATGAAAACCGGAAACAACGACGGTACCACAAACACCCAGACACGAGACAATCTACAAAAGTTAGTTTTTACATTGACTCGGCCGGGGATCGAAGCAGGAACTGCAGAGATGGCGACACCATGGAAACCGGTGTGCAAGCCACTCAACCACGGAGGCCATAACTCTCAATGATAACATAGTTTCGTGTAAATGCACGTCTCATTTGCTAACAGATTTGTAGAATCTTTTTACACAAGCGTATGTACCGAATAACAATATAGGATTGTAGGGTTTGTGTAAGTGGAGTTCCGTTTTTCCCAACTGACAATAACTAACCTAACCCTATTACTATTTCTGTCTTAAATCATAATATGTTTTTATTTGAAGAAGCTCCAGTGAGTGACGACGCAACGTACATGATTTATCAACGTGAAGGAATAGTTTACCAGCATGAATGAAGTGGGCGTGAGTTAAATTCTTTGGCTCGTATAAACCCTGTGACGTAGCGATGACTTCCTGGTAACGGGAAATATATATATAAGTATAGCTTTAGTTTTAATTCCCATATGACACATTTGTTGCCAAGCGTCATAATTCTGCCGGATAATAAACGAGCCCATTGTCTAATAAATGAGATTGTTTATACGTAAAAAGTATTTACCTAATTACCACTGCTCTGTGGGTATTTTCCCTGAAGTTATGCACTAATTAAGAAGCCTATTTGTTTCCTATTATGCGGTAAACGATTTCATGCCACATACGTTTACACAACCGCTATTTCTTATCACATTTCGACACGCCTAAAGCAAAAGGAAGTAAATAAAATGTTTAAAAACCTTCAACACCCACAAATTCAAAAGAGACTTGAAACTTTCGGATACGATACTGATTTACTTCTAACACGGTTCTTCAATCAATTCTTTCAAAAGTATTACTATCTACAAGCATCAGCTATTTTAGTTGTCTGCTACTTATGTACCTCGTGTCCTCTTTAAGGAAATGTTAAGACAGAGAAACGGATGATGTTTTTCTCACTCTTACAATCCTAGATTATGAATTATATAGTACCTTCATGTCAAGATGCAGTATGTTCTGTCGGTGCACGAACTCGATGCCCTCGCAGATCTGTCGCATGAACACGGTGCAGGCTCGCTCGGTTAGAACAAAGTCTTCATCGATCACTCGCTCGAACAGCTCTCCGCCTGTAATGCTGCGAATAAGAGCATTATGTTTGGTTATTAATGTACCTGCATTAGAAAACAAACATAACAGGTATATATACAACGATACATATGTATGTATCGTTCTATTAGTATACTTCAGCCTCAAATTTTTCGTTCGTTTTTGAGAAAAATCGTGCGTTTTCCATGAATCGATTGTTGGGATGAATGCGATGCCAAAAAAGATCGTTGCTGATTGACTTCAAAGGCGGGAGTTGGTGCCAAAATTAGTTCTTAATGCAAAATAGACAACGACAAGGTCGCCGGTTTGTAGCCTCACCAAGGCGGCTTTCACTTGGCAAGTGTCGATCGCGGAGAAATTTTGCTAATGTCGAATAATGCTCATTTGTTTTGATTTTGCTTTGTATGTCTTTTGAACGATATTAATTTACTTTGAGCGTGTCATGCTCTGCAATAATGTCTTATATGGTCTTATCATATCGATGGCTCTATGCAATAACGCAATATTGCAGAGTTGATTTTAAACTAAGCATACAGCGACGAGCAGAGCAGATTTTTTTTGAGTAGAAGTTGGAATTCACGATAAACGGAAACAATAAAAGTGGACGCTAAAGATAACATATCTTATTCCTTTCTCTTTTTGGTTTGATATAAAGAATTAGACAAAACTAGAATAGTGTGAAAGTAGTCCTTGACGAACTTTTACTTAATTTTACTTACTTTACTGTATAACTTTACCCATGAATTTTTGTTTTTCTAGTATTTGCATTGAAAAGCAAAAATATGCATCATGCAAGCATGATCCTTGTTAATCAATTTACGAATTCACATTTAGGCCAGTGTCAATTTTGTGAAAATAATACCTAAACAAATTATGATATCTGTCGCTGATGTCAAAGTTGACGAAAACAATATTTTCTCTTCTTTTGCTTAATGGCGGTGCACTTTTTCCGACTCCAAAAAAAGGAGGAGGGTCTCAATTCGATTGTATTTTTTTTGTATGTGTGTTACGCGATAACTCCAGCATTTAACATTTGAAAACAGACTTTGATCATTCTTTTTTTGTTGGCAAGAGGGTACCTCGGTAGTGGTCCCGTTTAAATTTGAAGAAAATATTCCACCTCTAAGAGTGGCAAACTAGGGGATGAATTCGGTTCCGTGCACTTTCTGGTAAGCGATTACAATAAAACTTGGCAAATAGGTGTAGTTCCACGAACTTTTGAGGTCGGTTTTTTTAGATTTTTTACATTTCGATCAATCAAGTTTCAGCTTAGTAATTAAGTAAAAAAAAGATTTTGCTGATTCAGCGAGTGTTGTGGAGCACGATATGAGCGAATATAAACCGTCTTCAACGATATTTAATAGTCCTATTGATTTTATTGAATATCATGATATTTTACTAACGTGATTTTTTTTCTGCTAGTTTCTTAGAATAATTAATACAATGATCGAACACTTGAAAAATTCCTTCGATTTCGTTATTAATAATTTAAACATTAAAATTTGAATTTTGATGTAGAAGATCTGAATGGAACATCTACAATATATTAAAATAATCTTTTTGCGACCAGTGTTTTTTTTTGGCGCGTGCTGTGTTGTCTATGTTTTTGTTCCACGAATAATTTTTAAACTCCGCTAATTGATTGTCATTAATCGTGTATGTCATTGACAAGTAGCTACGATTTGTAGCTGTCGTTTTCTATGCTTCCTATTAACAAAAGAATTGTATGCAAATGTATTTTGTCAGTACGTAGTTGAAAGTTTTACGAGAGCAGTTAAGCTGCTCGGACGAACTGTCTTCGCACCATTGGTGCGGAACATTGGTGAAGAGGCAATCGTCATTCATTAAATTATTAAATTAGCATTTAATAATTTAACCTATAGAACTAAAATGTCAATTTTATTTGACAATAAGTAATTAAACCTTTTTTGTTTTGAAGTGGAAGAGAGATTCGCTTTCTCATAAATATGAAACTATATCTAAAATGGGACAAAGATTCGCTGTTTATTTCTCTTAAATAGGAGACTACGTCTAAAGTAAAAGCGCTAACAGCTGTTCCTTTCTCTTAAATATTTAGTATACTAAATATTTAGTTTCAAGAAACAGCGAATCTCTGTTTCACTTTATAAATGACACATTTACTAACTGTGTTCATTCTGTATAAAAATCTCTATCGTTTCAGACTTGATTTTCATGTGCTATTACCAAATAAAAACCTTGGAAAATATTTGACATCGTCTTAGCTTAGTAAGACAAAGTAGGTAATCTTCTCTAAGCCGAGAACGAGAGGCGGCTGACAAGTAATCTCTTAACTGCTTTCAATTTAAAACTAATACAGGTCACTATCGTGACGCATTCGTTGTATGTTCTTTTTTCTAAATTAGTGACAGTTTTTTGTTTATTATTTTTCGCTTTGCAAGGACAAAATGGGGGAAGAAAAGGCAAAAAGTTTAAAATGAACAACGTTTTTTGTCCTTTTTTAACAAATAAATGTATTTCCTAGTATTTCCCATTTACGGTTCCTATAAACCAGGGGTTCCCAAACTTATTTTGTCTACTGCCCACTTTGAGAATAAGTTATTTTTAGCGCCCCCATTTTTTCACCTATTTAAAAACCACTATAACTTAATTATTGTGAGCTATATTAGCGGAGATTAAGCATTCATTCTAAACGAGACTTTTACTATATAGTCTACGCAGTAGGTAGTACACAACGGCTCTCAGGTGTCAAATTAACTCTTACGGGCTACACCTGTCAAAGAGAAAGATTATTGAAACGCAACTTTATAGTATTCAGACAGAGTATCTTTTACTCAAAATAAAACAAACACAACCGATTCTAATATAAAAACTAATGTGAAGGATGAATCTGATGCTGTTTAATAAGTTTGTTGATATGAGGTTCCAATTTACTCAAGAACAGCCGCAAGTCACCACGTTCGGTAACATGCAAACGATTTCTCTTTTTAGTGAGCAGCGTTGTCACAGCACTAAAACCACGTTCACACAAATATGACGATGGGAATGCTATCATGAATCGTTGAACGATTGACTACAATCCAGGGTACAATTGCGGGATCGGTTTTTGTAGCCAAAATTTTTGGCAGCCATTTTTGAACTTGATTTTTATTTCCTCGTTCGTTGTCAATTCTATAAGTTTTTCTTCCAGCTGAGGTGATATTGGTGTATTGGCATTTGAAAACAGATCTAACACCCAGTCTGGTATTTCCAAGTTCAAAATGTCCTGGTATCGTTCGGTGAAGTCAATGTGGAGGTTTTCTAAATGTTGGCAGTAGGCAAACAAGTCGTCGTTACTGCAGGATAGGTACTGATAAATTCAGAAAATTGTGAAACTCACATCTGCCCGAATTCTTCTGTCTTCTGCATTCAGTTTGACTGCGAAAGCAGCAATGACATTTTTTGTTTTAATTAAATTTAGTTCATTGCCTTGCAGTTGGGGATTCATGTCATTGAACAATTAACAGGAATAAGACAAACATGCATAAACTCGTTTATCTCATTCGACGCTCAATGGTACTCAACAAGTAAGAACAAAATATTCTATGAACCAGCCGATTGTTATTTAACCTGTTAAAACATGATTGCCCGCAGTCTATTATCTACAAAAATTACCTATCTAGGAATACTAATAACTATTAAAATGCGAAACTGTGTCTGTTGCCTTTTTATTTGTTGGTTTGTGTCTACTTTCATTTCGAAACGGAGCGACCGATTGACATGATTTTTATTTTATTTATTCAATAAAACAGGACAGATATATGAGCTACACGGAGAGAAATATCGAACCGAGTTATTTTGAGCAATCTCTTAATTAATTAGATGTCCACAAGTTGTAGTCGAGAGTCGAGAGCTTAGTCGGTGTCTTAGGGTCGTATTCCAGAACTCTACTCAATACTCAAGTCAGGACTTGAGTATTGCAATGAGCACTGAAAATCATACTCAAGTCCTTGCTATTGGGGTCGTATTTCCAGTGCTTGAAATCATACTCAAGTCTGGTCAATTCCTGACTTGAGCGACCCTTATGCTCGTATTCCAGAACTCTACTCAATGCTCAAGTCAGGATTTGAGCAGACTTGAGTATGATTTCAAGCACTGGAAATACGACCCTAATGGCAAGGACTTGAGTATGATTTCGAGTGCTTTAAACCATACTCAAATCCTGACTTAGGCATTGAGTAGAGTTCTAGAGTACGACCATAAGAGTCTTTCTGGATGGAAATTACAAATCTCCCTCTAAGCCTCTACACAACGCCCCCATTTTTTTCTGGGTCTCTTACCCTTTAGGCCTGCAGCGCCCACAAGGGGGCGTTATCGCCCACTTTGGGAAAGGCTGCTATAAACATTTTAAATGGAAAAAAAGCAGCCACGTTTGTCATGTTACTTAGGTACGTAGTACTTTTCAACCGCCACTCGTAGTTATGCACTATTAAAAATACTCAAAGTAATGTTACAATAACACTTAATCCGAATCAACCTGAATCAACATCAAACAAATTAATCGACCAAGATTAATATTTGCACAGCTTTCCGCGTCCAATTGCGTAGTTGAATCACTGAGAATCGAAAAATGAAACTAATTCCATTCCATAGCCATTCGACACATAAATATGGAAGCCTAACATTTCATGCGAATGCTTGGAATAATCACAACATAAGGGTGGAACCCCATCCTACGTCTTTTCCCCGCTGATGGAAAAGGGAAGACAATATTAAATCGTGCAATTCCATCGCACAGTCTCCGTGATATATCCAGTAGAATATCGATAAGCAGGCACCTTCACGAGCCGTCTCGTGGGACTTGTATAGGGCCCGAAACGTTGGTTTCTTCGAAAATTAGTTTAATTTCCATTGTTACCTTTAAAGATATGCGCTTAATATTTTATAAAAAATGTTTTTATAGAAACCATTGAAATAATTACAACCAAACATTTCGTAGAACCATACCTTACCGATTAGTCTGCGTCTATTTTTTAAACCGACCGCGACTGTGTAATAATTAGCGAGAAC